TCTAGAATATATACAAAACTCTTAAAACTCAACAACACAAAAACAGCCTGATTAAAAAATAAGTAAAAGACTAGAATAGACATGTCTCTAAAGAAGATATACAAATGGCCAAAAGCACATGAGATAATTAGTTCAGAATCTCTAATCATTAGAGAAATCCAATCAAATCTCACAATAGTGAGATACCGCCTAATACCCATTAGAAGGCCACTATTAAAAAAAAATCCCAGGGCTGGGATTGTGGCTCAGCAGTAGAACACTTGCCTAGCACGTGCTAGGCACTGAGCACTGGTTCAATCCTCAGCACCACATGAAAATAAATAGGTAAAATAAAGGTACTGTGTCTAACCACAACTAAATAAAAAAATAATAATAAAAAAAAAAAGTTGGGTGTGGTGAAGCACACCTATAATTCCAGGAGCTTGGGAGGCTGAGGCAGGAGGACCAAAAGTTCAAAGCTAGCCTCAGCAACTTATCAAGGCACTTAGCAACTCACAAGACCCTGTCTCTAATTTTATATATATAATATATAGGCTGGGGATGTGGCTCAGTGGTTATGCACCCCTGGGTTCAATCCCCAGTATCATAAAACCCAACACAGGAAATAATGAGTGTTGGCAAGGATGTGGAGAAACTGGAAACTCTTGTGCACTGTTGGTGGGAATGTAAAATGGTATAGTAAGGCAGTTTCTTAAAAGATGCAATGATGCACATTTGTAATTCCAGCTACTCAGGAGGATGAGGCAAAAGGATCAAAAATTTAAAAGACAGCCTGGGCAATTTAATAAGACTCTTTTTCAAAATAAAATAATAAGAAGGGCTAGGGATGTAGCTCATTGTTAGAACACTTTCCTAGCAAGACCCTGAATTCAATCCCTCATACTAGAGGGAAAAAAATATATTAAAATTAGAATTACCATGCTATCCAGCAAATTCATTTGTGGGTATGTTCCTCAAAGAATTGAGAGCCTATCTAAAAATATCTAGGAGATATTAGTGTATCCATGTACTAGAATGCCCTTGGATAAAAATGGCATGTTGTTTACTCATAATTTAGCCCTACACAGATTGAGCATCCCTAACCAAAAACTTTGAAATCAGAAATGCTTTGAAATCTGAAACTTTTTGAATGCTAACATGATACTCAAAAAAAAGTCTATACAGATATTTCAAAATCTGAAAAACTCTGAAATCTGAAACACTTCTGGTCTCAGGGAAACAAATCAGAGTTATTCAAATTGTACTTTAAGCTGGGCATAGTGGAGCATGCCTGTAATCCCAGTGACTCAGGAGGCTGAGGCAGGAGGATCACAAGTTCAGCAATGGCAAGGTGCTAAGCAACTCAGTGAGACCCTGTCTCTAAATAAAATATAAAATGGGGCTGGGGATGTGGCTCAGTGGTCAAGTGCCCCTGAGTTTAATCCCTGGTACCAAAAACAAAAACAAAAAAAAAACCTTTCCTTTAAATCATCTCTAGATTTCTTATAATATGTAATACATTGTAAATTCTATGTAAATAGTTATTACACTGTATCTTTTAGGGAATAATGACTACAAAAGGTACTCATATTTAGTTTGGACACTTTTATTTTTATTTAATTTTGTGTGTGGTGCTGGAGACTTAACCCACAGCACCTGTGAATGTACACACTGTACTATCATTAGCCCCATCAAACACTTTTTTTCCTGCAATATTTTTGATCTGCAGTTGTTTGAATACACTGATGCAGAACCCACAGATACAGAAAACTGTGTTTGACTAAAGATTCCACACATAGGAGAGATCATGCAGTATTTTTCTTTCTGTGTCTGACTAATTTCACTTAACATAATGCCCTCCAGTTTTATCTATGTTGTTGAAAATGGTAGGATCTTCTTTTAAAAAGCTGAATACTATTTCATTATACAGTAGAATACACCACAGTTGTGTTGTGTTATGTTTTTTTTGGCAGTGCTGGGGCTTGAACTCGGGGCCTCACACTTACTAGGCACATATGAGCCACATCCCCAGCCCCACACCACAGTTTTTTTACCCCATTCACCTAACAGTGGACACTTAGGTTGACTTTTCACTTGACTATTGTGAATAGTACTGCAACGTACATAAGAGGATAGATAACTGTAGTATGAGGTGTTGCTTTTATTTTGGGGGGGTTATACACACAGAAGAGGATTACTGGGTCATATGGTAGTTTTATTTTTAATTTTTTGAGGAACCTCAATTTTTATTTTCCTTTGGGCTATACCAATTTGCATCTACCAAGTGTTGTCTGCCCCATATCCTGGCCTTAATGTTTTGTCCTTTTGATAATAGTCATCCCATTGCCTATGAGATGATATCTCACTGGGATTTTGATTTGTATTTCCCTGATGATTAAGTGATGTTGACCATTTTTTCACATACCTGTTGGTCTTTTGTATGTATCCTTTGGAAAAATGTCTTTTGGGGGTCCTTTTCCCAAAATTTATTTAGGTTATTTGATTTTTTGCTATTGAGTTTATAAGCTCCTTTATGTTTTGACTATTAACCCTTTATAGGATATATAGTTCATATTTCGTTTGCTGTGCAGAAGATTTTAAGTTGAATGTAGTTCCATTTGGCTTTTTTACATGTGCTGCCTAAGTTTTTGGTGTGTTCTTTGCTTTTTAACATTTTTCAAAGATATAGTTTTAAATTTAAAGGAACCATATGATCACTGTTAGAATGGGGCTAGAAACATAAAATTTTTATGTTTCTAGACATTCCTTTAAAAAAAGAAAATTCAACATTCTATCAATATCTTTTAGTCCACATTCATTATCATGTAGGATTGCTGCAACACAGGAGGGCCTATGTTTCCTTTAATTTTTTTCACATCCTCTGTTCGAAATAATTTTATGTAAATTAATAGAGTATGTGCTGTTAAGTAGCACTAAAAAGGAACACAGGATGGGCTGGGGTATTGCTCAGTGGTGAAGTGTTTGCCTAGCATGTACAAGGCCCTGAGTTCCATCCCCAGCAACACACACACACACACACACACACACACACACACACGAACGGAAGATGAGAAAGCTTCTTGTTTTCAGTGCTCAACTAAAATTGGAGGAAAGTCCAGACTTCTTATTTTTAGCATTATTTCTGGTGAATTTTCCTCCCTTATGTTTACATAGTGATCATAGAACCATCTGGAAATGATAGAAATAGCTGTTTGTTCGGAGGGAGGGGTGACAGCAGGAGAGTTACGCCCTATGCATTGCTTCAGTTTCTCTAATCTAATATCTTGCTGTCTATAAATCATAGAAATCACATAAAAGAATGTGTTCTAAAGTCTTTGCCTGTAGGTTTGAAATATGAAGTTCATGGGCTTTGATTTGCTATTTGTTCCAACTACCCTTCTGGCAAATGCTTAAATATTTAATGTAGCATTGAAGGAAAGATTTTTTTGTCCTTAATATCTTTACATTTCAAATCTTCCTGGCTTAGGCATATCCATGAAAGCAAATGTTTCTAGTCAGTATTCTCCCCCACCCCCCCCAAAAAAATGGAAGATTCTTGCATTCTCTTCAAAACCTTGAAACCAAACTAAAATGTATTTTTCAGAGCTATTTCTAACCTCCTACATGTGAGAGAAGTTTGGCAGGTTGGGAGGTCACATGGTGTAGAAAAAAAAGAACTAAACCAAGGAATGAACAGGCCTGACTAACTGTTTGACAAGTTCTTTCTGGGCTGTTTCTCAGTTTCAAACCATGTGGATTGCCCTTGATGATCCCAAAAGTATCCCACTCAATCAGTCACTCTGTGACTTAGATTGAGATTCTGGTGTGTTTTTTTTCTTTTTTTTTTTTAATTAAAAAAACACATTTATTTATTTATTTATTTATTTTTATGTGGTGCTGAGAATCTAACCCAGTGCCTCAGTCATGGTAGGCAAGTGCTGTACCACTGAGCTACAACCACAACCCCAGGTTGAGATTCTTTCTAGTTCTTACTGGAAAGAGCAAATAGAATTAATCTTTCTGTTCAGCACAGCTGTATTCAGGAGGTTACTCCATTATTTTGGGAACTGTTGAAGGTATTTTCTTTGGAACTGTCACTCACAAGATAACAAGAAGGTCAAGGTTACTTCATCTACAAGTGTCTAAATAATTATCATAATAATTTGTTGTCCCTCTGCCACCACTCATTATGAAAAATTAACCAGACATTTAAGAGAGGGCACATTTGAACAATACCCATATCACATGACATGTTGGATGCTGAAAGCCACTGGTTGATTTTTCTTTCCGGGTAGTTCAGTGAATCTTTCATTTTTGACAAGTAATCAACTTAGTGTTACCACAGCATAACAAGCTGAGCTTATTTGGATGACAGAAGGAATGTCTGTTTATCCTAGTCTCTATTAGTTATAAGCTAACTTTCCTAACAATGACTAGGAAATCTTGGTAGTTCAACTCAGATATTTGCTCTGCTGATGAGTCTCCATTGATCCATCTTTTTATAGTAAGAATTTGCTTTTCATTGTTAGAAGAGGAATGAATCTAAAGGAGTGAATAAAAGTAATGTGTCTGTTGACTTATTTCTAGGATCTTCCCTAGGCAATTGATTATAAAGACTACAATTCACATGTCACCATGAAAATGCTTGAGATCATTGTTTGGGTTTATAGGTACCATCAGTAATGTCTACAAGAGAATATTTGTTCTTTCATATGAGTCACTGGTAGACACTTCAAAAACTATTGAAGCTGGGCACGTGGCACATGCCTGTAATCACAGCGGCTCGGGAGGTTGAGGCAAGAGGATCCTGAGTTCAAAGCCAGCCTCAGCAAAACCGAGGAGCTAAGCATCTCAGTGAGACCCTGTCTCTAAATAAAATAAAAAACTGTGGCTCAGTGATTGAGTGCCTCTGAGTTCAGTCCCCAGTATAAAACAAAACAAAACAAAACAAAAAAAAACTATTGATGGTAACACTTCTAGGCAAAAACTTTTTCTTTTGCTCAGCATTAATTATATATCCAGTGTTCACTTCAGCAGCACTACATATACTAAAATCATGATACAGAGAAGATTAGCATGGCCCCTGCACAAGGACAACACACAAATTCCTGTAGCGTTACATACTAAAAAAAAGTTATAGGGCTGGGGATATGGCTCAGTTGGTAGAATGTTTGCCTCACATGCACAAAGCCTTGGGTTTGATCCCCAGCACCACCACCATAACAACAATAAAAAATATATACATCCAACTTGTAGCCATCTGTAAAGATGAATGCCATTGCTAGGTATAACTATCAGAGAGGTATCGTAGAATAATCAGTACTGGAGAGGACATTGAAAATCATCTCATACAGGTCTCCACCCTCTTATATCACAACTGTTCTTAATTGTGGCTTATGTAGAAGAAGTGACTTATGATTACATGTGGCTCATGTATATCCAAGTCTAACTTGTCTGAAGAGGTAACTTTGAACAAGGATTAGAGATCATTACAAATCAAAGTCTAGTGGTTCCTTCTCTTCTGTGCTCCAGCAGGGCCTAGTCCCATCATAGATTCTATCTTTTCAGCCACCTCAGGGTCAAGTTCAGCAAGAACATGGAGGTTGGGAGTGATGGGGATGATAGAGTCAGAGCTGTGTCATTCAGTATCATTGAAGAGGTCAGTAACCCTGAGAATACAGCCATGAGTACATTTGGCCAAGGTAGGACTTCCCCTATGGGAATGTCCCCATGGCTTAGGAAAGAACTGGGTGCTCTCTGTATACTTCCAAGAAGAGGGTAGGAACAGAGGGGCCTGAGCTTTTGGAAGCTCAGTCTCTTGTGACCTGGCACCATAGGAGGCCATCTGCTGGGTCATTCTGAGGCAGTCACAAGATGCTGTGTGATACAGTTTTATGAAAGCACATTCTTTTCTCTCCTATCATAGTTCACACTCAAGAGCTGTTTCCCATCATCTGTTGGGCCCCATCTAGGTGGGCAGCCCTGACTAATCTGGAGGGCTGTTCCATCTGGGTCATTTGTGGCCCACTTGAAAACTGACTTAAAAGGCTGAAAACCTGCCTATACAAGTGGTTTGAAAAGTTTTGAAGATAGGGGAAAAACCCTGGAAAGTATTTGGAATAGGTATAATTATAACTCTGCCACAGAAAAAGCAGACTGTCTTGGGTCATGCCTAGCCCCTCATTTGAAAAATAAAAAATAAATAAGTACTCCTTAGTGGCCAAAGAAGTTGTGGTTTTGAGTTGCTCACTATTTCTAGAAACTTCATAAAGTTAATCCAGAAGTAACAGGGTGGAGACCAAGAAAGGAAACATGCTATTTTATGGTGCTTTTAGCAAAGATAAAGAATTTGCCTCAGGCTAGGGGCAGTGCAATAGTGGCTTCAGAGCTTTGCTCCACTCAAGCTGTGGGGGCTGGCTGGGGCAAGCAGGCCTCACCAGCATCAGACAGCAAGAGGGCATCCTGGAGGACAGGTCAATTGCAGGCATGCTGATGCACAATTCCTGTCTCATCCTCCCTGTTCTCCTTTCTCCTCTTTATTCAAATTGACAAGTTTCTCTTGAGCTTCTGTTATACATGCAAACCACTGTCAAGTTCCAGCTGCCCCTTTCTAACTGGTTTTCCTTGCAGTTCACTGTCCCTGAATATAAATCTCCATTCATTAGTCTTAACTCTTGTTGAGTACATTTGATCACTTGGCTTTTTCTTTTTACTTTAGAGGAGTGGGAAAGCAGCTATACTAGTAGTGCAAAATGGATTTATGTTTGAATCAAGTACTATTACATTACATGTTTCTGAAGCATAAGTACCAAATGAAATGTTGCAGAGATTAACATATACTATCTCATGACAGGTGAAGAGTAACCTAGAACTTTGGGAATATAGAAAATCCATCCTGAGAATAAATCAGGTGCCTTGATCCTGGTTGTAAACCAGTTACTAATGTGTGATTTTTCTTATATAGACACATAGCCCTCTCTAGAGAATCTCTAAAGATTTCAACAGTTCAGATTCCTGAACTGGTGCATAATTACATACTGGTATTTGAAGATTATGGCATGCAATGATACGTTCTGTCTCCCTCACAGAGTGAAGGCTGCGCAAACGGAGCTAGGACAGCAAATCCTGGCAGATTTCGAAGAGGCATTTCCTTCCCAGGGTACCAAGGTATTCTTTTGCATTTTTCCCTCCAATCTTTAGATATTGTTATCACCCTCCCCTATTATACTCACTACAAATTATTTATTTATCATTCTAAAGTGTTTGTGGGCAATAGCAAATTTGTCTAATGGAAAGTTTAAGGTAATGAGACCATCATTGATTTTAAAGATCCCTAAGTGATATGTCTTTCTGTTGTCAAAAAGTGAGGATATGTTTTGGTTTAATTTAATGTGTGTCAAACCCTATCTTGTCTGCCTGTAAATTCCTTTTTCTCATGGCTGTGTTTTAAAAGAATATTTTCAAGCTACGATGTTTTTTAGAATTGTTACATAACTTATTGGTTTCAGGTTGGTAAAAAGACAACTGGGAGGAATATCCAGGGGCTTATGTAACTCTCAGAGTGACATAGTTAGAAGACTCACTTTTGATGATCATAAGCCTGTTTTTTGAAACTAATGCCCAACATTGCTCGCTGGTAGTGTAGCTGTAAGTGTTGTGTCTGTGAAGCACATGAGATTTCACTTGTGAACAATTGGTTACATTTCTCCTGTACAAGCTTTCCCTCACTTGATTGTCACTGTGCTGGAGTAACTGCTTAGTTCCATCCTTCACATTGTAGCAGATGTCATGTTAATGCTTTGCATGTGTCCGCGAGGGCAGAATCTTCAGAAGCTTTTATTCTCTATTATTTGAGCTATTCTGAGGGGAAAAAATTTGTTCAAGGCAGAAATGAACTGGGCACATGGGCCAGCAGCATTCCTTGCTGTGCTTTGTGGGTGCAGATGGGGATATACATCCACTTACTGAGCCAAGAAGTGTTTCCTGGACCAGCTCTATAATTCAATAACTGGAAATATCTTAATTATTTTTTCTTTGTGCTCCATAAAAGAAATTTAGGAAGTAGGCTGGGAGTAGCTGTCCTTGCTTTGGTAAATTGCTTTCTATAGGAAACCTGCTCCTAATTTTAATAGTTTGTGACCAACTGCTAACAATTGGATACTTATTTGTAAAGCACTTTTCTTTGAGAACCTCATCTTCCTTAGTCACTTGATGTAATTCAAGGAGGGAGTAAATGTTGGAACACCACTATTCCTATTGACCACACAAGGAAACAGAGGTCATAGAGGTAAAAAGTATTTTAAGGATAGTCGCTGATTATGAGCACTAGACTTCCTAGGCCAGTCTGCTTTCCAGCACTGTGGTGCCACATACCAATTTCAGAAGTTTCAGAAGCCCATCTGTATTAGTTAACCACAACCTACTTTATATCTTTTTCTTCCCAGATCATACCAGGCAAATGAATAAAATTATTTTCTTTAACAATTTGCCTTTTCTCTGGCTCAGTGACTTAAAAGTTTTTTGTTTGTTCGTTTGTTTTTTTTTAAAAGCTATTTTTAAAATAGGGTTTGACACAGCTTTTTTATCTTTGGTAACAGGGATTGAACCCAGGGGCACCCTCTACCACTGAGCTACATCCCCAGCCTTTTAAATTTTTTATTTTGTGATGGGGTCTTGCTAAGTTGCCAGGGCTATTCTTGAACTTGCCATCCTTCTGCCTCAAACTCCTGAGTCACTGGGATTTCAGGCCTGTGCCACCGTGCCCAGCAACTTTTCTTAAAGGCTTTGTGCTATTCTTCTCTTCTCGCAAATGGAATCAAGATGTTAAAAAAATTGTCCAAAGTAAACTAGTCAATTTTTCTGAAAAATGAAAAAAAATTAGAACCTGTGAACCTATAGGTTTTGGCCCTTTTGACTTCTCTATCTAGCTTTCATCTGGAAGCTAGAGCAGTTGGTATGTTCAACAGGCCACATAATAGACAATAATTATGGAGCAGGTCACATTTTAACAATTTAGGTCTTAGGCAGTTTATGTGATGCTTTGAAACACTTGAACTTCAGTTGAGATGGATAGAATGGACAGAATTGACAAAAATAAATGATAATGATCTGAAAGAACCTTACTGATCACCTAATTCAAGTCAATTATTTTTCAAATGAGGTTAAATAACTTCTCAGAGCTACATGGCTGTTTAACCAAGCCAAGAGTAGTTTTCATATATTCTTTGTGGTCCACAGTCAACCACATTCATTCAATGATTCACCATACAAAAAGGTGGTGAGACCAAATTGCCTTAGGTAATAACGAAGACCTTCCATTGTAATGTATCATTATTGCCTCCCGATCTTCCACTGTTGTTTTCAGGTCAAAGGACCTACATCACAGTATTTTTACCTTTGGCTGCATATATTAGACTGTCAGTGAAATAAGTCTGGAGGTTTGGAATCTGTTTTTAAGTTTTAAAGAGACCACACAGCTTGGCAAAAGTATGACACTTCAACAAGAATCCCAGAGGTTGGAAGCAGGGAAAAGTGGCACATATGGAGTGACACTGGTGTCATTATGACTTTTAGGCCTCTTCAGTAGTCTCTGACATCAGAGACTGCTGTCATTCTGACTTTTTAGGTTCTTTCAGTTTGAGTATTCAGAAACTAAAATTTTCTATGATCCTTGCTGGCCCTGTTTTCCAAAATATCTCATTGCTGATTCACAGGATAGTTTTTATGTTGGCTACTTCAAGACTAGCTTAATGATTCTTTCATCGAGGAACAAGTAACAAAAATATCTGTCTGCAGTAGAAAGAATCAGTGTCCGGGGAGTGGGAGTAATAACAATAAGAGAGAAACAAGAAGTAGCAGCTGTCAGAAACTATGAGATTTAATGATTGTTTCTAGTATTTGAATTGCTGTATGTTGTTTGTTTTGCCAGAGACCAGGAGGACCCAGTAATGTTCTGCGAGATGCATGTCTGGTTGCTAATATTTTGGACCCCAAAATCAAGCAAGAAATCATTAAGAAGTTTATTAAACAACATCTGTCAGAGTATCTAGTACTTTTTCAAGAAAATCAAGATGTAAGTATTGACCAGATGAGGTCAAAGTTAACACTTGAATTTTATTGAAAAATGAATGCAGCCAAGTGTGTTGATTGATACTTTATTAGTACTATGACCTGTTAAACCTTGAATCCTAGGGACTGACTTTATAGTTCATTGGTTCTTAACCATTTTTGAGGTCATTAACCATTTGGATAAATTAATAAAAGCTGTAGATCTTCTTCCCAGAAAAGTGCACCAGTGTATAAAACTGTATGTACACCAGGGGTGGTGGTGCATGCTTGTATTCCCAGTGGCTAGGGAGGCTGAGGTAGGAGGATCAGGAGTTCAAATCCAGCCTCAGTAAAAGCAAGGCTCTAAGCAACTCAGTGACACCCTGTCTCTAAAATACAAAATAGGGCTGGGGAATGTGGCTCGGTGGTTGAGTACCCCTGAGTTCAGTCCCTGGTACCCTCCCTGAGGCCCCAATCCTTTCCCCCCAAAAAAACTTTATGTACAGTTTCAGGAAATTTGCAAAACCATAAAGCCCAATTACAGACTCCAGGTTAAGAACCTCTGGACCAAGTAAATACGGTAGCATATATTCTTTCAAATGGTGAGGAATACAGAATGACTGTCATTCTCTTTGTTCTACGTTTTTGCTTCTTTCCCTCAAACTGTCAATACTACATCTAAGCACTGGAGTGTTTTTTGTTTCTTCCCTTCATGAGGTTGCCTGGCTAGACAAAATTGATAGACGATACGCCTGGGTAAAACGCCAGCTTGTGGACTATGAAGAGAAATATGGCCGAATGTTTCCACGGGAATGGTATATGACTGAGAGGATTGCAGTAGAATTCTGCCATGTGACAAGGTATATTCCAGCTCTTTACTGGTGCTGTTTCTAATTGAATTTTCAAAATCAGTTTCCCACTTTGGTTTCATATTGTCCTGTGGATTGGGTACCAATTCCAGACTCCACCAGATATAGCAACTCTTAGCTCCCAACTTGGCTGCAAGTTTTCCTGTTGCCTAGTGCTTGCCTCAAACAGCATACCTTCTGTCTTTTACCAACTCTGGACTCATCAACTAAGTTTACCTATACATTTCCCTCTGTTTCTGTATTATGTATAATAGCCTTCAGTGAACATGTTCATCATCATGTAGATTTTCTGACTTGTTAGATAGTTCCATAGAGACAGAAGTAGTGTCACTTTAAGTACATGACAGTCACTCAGGAAATACTTGTTGAATGAATTTCCCTAATACAATGTTTATAGTCTGTGATTGATAATATTGGCATCTGAGTGTTCTAAGCATTTTAAAGCTCTCTCTGCATTACCCATGAGTATAGCCCAGACTACGAAGACCTTTATTTTGAAGAATTAGAGCCCAGCAAGGTTAGATCAGTGTGTCCATGACAAATGTAAAACTAGAACCAAGCTTTCTTATTCTTTGTACATATACAACAACAGTGGTGGTAACTGGTTTTATTAGTTATATATTCCCATCTAACAGTACTAATTACATTGTCTATAGGTTAATAAGAGGGGAAAAAAGCCAGATCTAAACATAACTCAGTGACCTTAGTATAATTTATGGTAGTCTTTTTTCTTAAAATCAGAGAAAGTACAGTCAAAATGGATGCTTTAAACACATTATAGGGGGGAAATGTTTTAAGTCACATTGGCTTTTTTAACCATTTTGGGAGCCATTTTAGAGTCACAGCAAAATTGGGCACATAAGTACAGAGATTTCCCATATACTCCCTGCCTCTCTGCACATGTAACTTTGCCTGTTATCAACATCCCCCACCAAAGTAGTATGTTTGTTACAATGTAGGAACCTACATTGATACATCATCCTCATCCATTGGCCATAGTTTAAACAGGGTTCACTTTTAGTGTTGCTCATTCTGTCTGGCTATTGTTTTAAGAAACACATTTACTACCATAGATTCAGACCATAGTATTTAAAGAAATACAGTATTAATTCAGGGTTGATTGGGGTTGTCACCTCCTAAATCCCAATTAGCAAAGAAAGGGTGAATTCCTTGAAAAATTGTTTATTAATTCTCTTTCACCTACAGTCAGCAGACTTGCAAACTAATTCTGTAAAAGATGAATCCTTATGAGACTGGAAGTGAACTAAAGCCAACAAGTCTCTGTGGGCGTTAGTACCTGCTATTGTTGTCTCAGCTAATGGCAGGGCTTCTGCCAAGCTTTTTTTGTTAGAATTTTGGCTCGAGTCCTACAGATACATCATTCTCAAATAAACTCAGAGGCATTTAGTTGTGTGGGAAGAGGATGACAGTTTAGTACTTACTAAGAACTCTCATGTCACTGTTCCCTAATAACCTACATTCTAAAACAGAATGCCCAAGTGAGTTGCACATAAGCTTCACAGGCAGGAACCACCAAAGCATATACGTTCACCTTTCAAATGGGTGTTCCAGTATCTCATGAGTCCCTGCTGTATGTGCAGAGATGATTATTGAGCTCTCTGGAAGACAGATTTATAATTGAGTAATTCATGAGTTGTTAAATGTATATATGCATTTTAGTAAAATGCCAAATGCCAAAGTACCATGTATATTATTAGCAAGTTATTGAGAGGGTTAAAGATCTAAACATAGTAGTCACCATGTAGACAAAATAGCATCCATAACCCTGTTGTTTTCTCTTTTTTTACTGGTGCATAATTTCACCTTACAATTCTTAGGAGTCCATACACTAGTCTACCCCTAATTTTGGTTTTACTTGCCATGGAAAATTCTGGAAATAAATAATCTAGAAGTTTTAAATAACTTTTCTTACAGCATATTATTATAATTGTTCTGTTTTATTAGGAGTTGTTGTTAATCTCTTACTCTGCCTAATTTATAAATTAAATCTTACTATAGATATGAAAGTATACGAAAAAACAATACATGTAGGGTCCAGTACTATCCACAGTTTTAGGCATCCAAGAAATATATTGGAATGTGAAGGACTATTGAATATCTGTTCCCCAGTCATTAGACTAAGTTGATAATAGACCTCACAGTTTGACATGATAATATACATTTTTTCTGAATATAAGCTGTTTACCTCCTCAATCTTGAATGATCAGTTTGTTTGACATTCTTATCTCTTCATTTTGAAGGGCAGAACTTGCCAAAATCATGCGTGCCAGAGCTAAGGAAATTGAGGTGAAATTACTTCTTTTTGCTATTCAGAGAACGACTAACTTTGAAGGGTTTCTTGCAAAACGCTTCTCCGGCTGCACCCTGACAGATGGAACCCTGGTAAGACTTTCCTGAGGGAGGCTGGACTGGAACATGGGTGGCTGGGGTGGCTGGGCTTCACTTTCATCCTTTGGCTCCTGGGCCCAAGCCATCCTTCTACCTCAGTATCCCAAGAAGCTGGGACTACAGACACACCATCATGTCTGCTTTAATTTTTTTAAATGAGGAAAATGGGCCAGATCAGTGATTTTCAAACCATTCTTCCAACAATATATGATGTGGAATCCAAACACAATAATAGCTACTATTTTTTGAACATCCACTGTGCACCCCATACTGTTCTAGGGGTATTTACCTGCAGCCAATCTCTGCTCCATCTACTGTATGAGGTACATGCTATACTCATTTGTCTCTTATCCATGGTCAGTGGGCTCATATGCAAAACCATAAAAACTTAGCTGCTTTGATCAAAGGCAGAGCAAGGGTAGGGAGCTGGAGCTAGTGTCCTGTTCACTCATTCACCCCTCACCTCCATTAGCTTCTCCAACTCTCAGCCTTTTAGCCCTAAGATTCTGGGACTTCAGTGGACTCCCCTCCTTGTCCCGCAAGACCTACCTCAGAGTAGGTGAATCAGAGGCTGGTCCTCGGGGCGCCAGACTGAAGAGTGGTGGTGGCAACAGCAAGGTTTTCAGGCAAGGCCACAAGGCCCTATCTGCTTGGGCTCACTTATGACTTTGTTGAAGTAAAATACAACTGGAACTGCAAAATATTCTTTCTATACTTGATAAATAGAAGTTATATAATACTCATTTTCATACTAACTTATGTTCAAAATTGACTTATTTTTTAGTATCAAGAGAAAAAATAGTTCACAAATAGGTGAAAATGTTTTCAAAGAAAATTCAAGTCACTGAAGGAATTAGCTAACAGAAACACCCTTTAGGGAAGTGCATGCATCTCTCTTGAAAAGTATGTGGTTAGCCTTAGAACCTGCCTGATTTCCCCGTGCTAGCCACCTTCTCTGTCCTACTCAAGCCAGGCTTCTGTACTGTTTTCAAGCAGAGACTTGGGCAGCGCTGAGTTCAGCTCTACATTGAGCTGCTTGAAGACAGGGAGGTTCAAGCATTTGAGTATAAACACCGGCCACTAGAAGCCCCTGAGCTCCCATGGCCTCTGGGCAGAGTTGGTAGAGCATAAGGATAGGCTCTGTGCACCAGTAATTCAGTTAACTGGACAGGAAATAGGCTCTAACTAAGATGCTTGAATACATTGTTGTGTGCTATTCTTCTCCTCCATTGGCTGGAGGCTTCTGGTGATTTTGTTTTACATTTAGAGGGGCTCTAGGATCACCTGGGAACAATAGCCCTGCGATATTTCATGACCAGGATAGCCTATAAATTTGAGTCTCCTGGGAGATGCTATAGTTTTCACCTATCCAAGGAAATCCCCCAAAGGTCAAAAGTGGTATATAACATGTCAGGGGAGATCTCTTCTAGACAAGCCAAGGCTTGGTGAGCAGGGTAACTAGGCAGAGAAATTGAGTAGGAAAAACCGGCAGGAGCTCTGCTTCAGTTTGCAAAGACAATGCTTTTTTTGTATAACACAGGTATAGCACTGTCAAAGTAGCAGTTGGCTGATTGTCAGCCATGTTCTGTCTCAAGGGGGCAGGGTTGGAGGTGCTTGTTTCTCATACTCAGCCAGGACAAAGCTCCTGGACTAGAGCCATTTCATCTCCTGGCAACTGCTGTGCCCAGGGGCAATGGCCATGATCTACTAGGAACACTTGAACTTTTCCCCCCTAGTCCCTTCCTTTTTTGTCTTCTGTGTTTGAAACTTTCTTGAAGAACTAGTTTGTAAATTTCCCTTCCCAGTTGTTCAGGTGTTGCTTTCCTCTCCCATGAGGTTTTTAAGGGAGTTTCAGGTTATAAATCCTTGGCAAGAAAATCCTTCTCAATACCATGAGTTCTTTGTTTATTATCTACATGAACAGCTGTCTTCTTCACACATTTCTCTGAATCTTTTGACTTATAAAGAAACTCAACTTCTTCCTCTGAACCATTTTTTTTCTTGTCCCAGTTACCATGACCCAGCAACCATTCCAAGTCCTGATGTAGGTGCTCCACAGCATTCAAAGATTTTTTTTTTTTTCCCTTAAAAATGAGTTTCTAGAAAGGCAGCAGAATTTCCCTCGGCCTTTTCAACTAGGCAATCCAGTTCTCCAAGAATTGACTTAACTGTTGCTTGGCTGCTGGGAGATGTAAAAGTTCTTACTGTAAGTGATATTCACACTGAGCCTGGTCCCTGCCATTACCTTGCTCTGGGCCAACTGGGCCATACCTTCTCCATCTGTGTTCTTCAATCCTCAGTGGCAGGGGCCTGGCAAAAGTCATGACTACTGACTCTGCTCCCTACAGAAAGCTCAGGGAAGAAAGAGGACACCCTAAACTCCCAGTTTAGCTGCTTGGCACTCTGCCTAAAAAACTTGATACTCCCTGGTCCTTTGCCTCCTCCCTGTGCTGGTTGGTTGCTTCCATAGTGAACTCTTGCTGCTTTTTTTTTTTTTTTTAATATTGAGTATTGAACCCAGGGATGCGTAACCACTTAGCCACATCCCAGCCCTTTTTATATTTTATTTTGAAGGTCTCACTAAGTTGCTGAGGCTGGCTTTGAAATTATCCTCCTGCCTCAGCCTCTCCTGAATTGCTGGGATTACAGGCATGTGCCACAGTACCTGACCCATTGTAGACTCTTGAAATCCTTCTTGGCTACCAGATTTTTTTCAGGATATTGGAGTAAACTTTGAAATGAACCATGGTGGTATATCTTGATACCCCTTAATATATGCCACATTTCAACGAAAGTTAGTAAGTTCTTTGAAAAGTGTTCAAGGAGCAGGTAGTAAGTCAGCCAAGAATCTTGGCCAGAGATTCTGCCTTGCTGCTTCTTCCCTTGGCCATGCCACACCCTGCCAGTACCTCCATTACCCTCTTCTCTGTGTCATTCAGAACCTTTAAACCCTTGGTGACTTTGACAGTAAGATAATGAGAATGGGCTTGAGAGTGTGTCAGACTCAGCAGAAAGACCTGCCACAGCCCAGCTCCTCCCTACTGACCAGCAGGATGCATCTTTTTTTTTTTTTTTAAGAGAGAATGAGAGAGAGAGAGAGAATTTTAATATTTATTTTTTAGTTCTTGGCGGACACAACTTCTTTGTTTGTATGTGGTGCTGAGGATCAAACCCGGGCCGCACACATGCCAGGCGAGCGCACTACTGCTTGAGCCACATCCCCAGCCCCAGGATGCATCTTTTGCTATTTTTTTTTAGAGCTGTGACTTTGACATTTGATGACAGATGTTAAAGACTAGAAGAGCTTTGAGGACAGGGCTTACTCTGTCTTTCTTGTACTGGCCCTGTCGAGCTTGATCATATCCTATGCTGCAGCTATTATTGGAACAAGGGAGCTGCTGGTGCTTCTTCCAGTTGCCTCAACTTCTGATCCTTTAGGAGGGATTCAAGATAGTCTGTAAATCTAAATGCCTTGAAATTAAAAGCAAATGTCTGAATGTGGTATAACTATATCCATGTGCATTTTTAGTGACTCAATTAGATTGAAGGTGAACAAATTACATTCAACTTTCTGCTTAAAAGCAGAGTAGATGGGGTTAGATTTTTATAACTGTCTGACTGAATTTGGGAGGTTGCTTTTTTAATAAAATAAAAAAAATTCCCATTTTATACAGCTAGATTTCCCTTTCTCTTGGCCTGTGCATAAATTGCCTTTCCAAATAGAATTCTCCTTTAGCTTATAGGGGTCATTTCAAAATACATGTACACTTGCCCAGTTTCAAAAATTATATTACAAATATAGAAGCTGCAGTTGCAAATTTCAACCATACAGTTTAGCATAAGAGCACGTACTTAGGAAAGCTTGTGCAGAGTGCCTCCCCCAATACCTCAGCCTTCCAGCAGCCTAACCCCTGCTTTAGGAATTCTATAAGGAACTGACAGGCAGGGTTACCAGTTCTCCCCCAGTGCCATGGCACATGGAAATAGCTTTCCCTTACCTGATAAGCTCCCTTCAGTGTCAAAAACATTTTGCAAATGGTTTCTTTTTCTGGGTGGGTGGTACTGGGGATTGAACTCAGGGGCACTCTACCACTGAGCCACATCCCCAGCCCTGTTTTGTATTTTATTTAGAGACAGGGTCTCATTGAGTTGCTCAGCTCCTTGGTTTTGCTGAGGCTGGCTTTGAACTCACAATCCTCCTGCCTTAGCCACCTGAGCCACTGGGATTACAGGCATGCACCACTGTGCCTGATGCAAATGGTTTCTTGATGCTAAAGAAATATATTCTTCCATTTGAATTACATTCTTAGGGGAAGTTCATATTTGTTTGTTAATGAGAAGATGGTAATACATGGTCAAGATAGAAAATTTGGAAATTATATGCAAAACAAAAATTATAGGAGAAAATAAAAAGCCATCCATTTTCCTATCAGTCAGAGACAGGAATTTTATGTCCTTTTTTATACATTTGACCTAGTTGAAATTTATTTTTTAAGTATGTTTTTCTCTGCTGCTTTTATTTTTTAAATTAAAATGTAATTCATCTAAAATTTTTCACAAACAAACTCACCTTTTGCCAGGCATGTTGGCACACATTTGTACTCCCAGCAACTCAGGAGACAGTTTGAGAATCTGTCTCAAAATAAAAAAGCAAAAGGTTTGGGGATAAAGCTCAGTGGCAGAGTGACCTGGGTTCAATCCCATATTGGAAGAAAAACAAAAAAGAAACCCACCTTCTTAATAATTCAGATAGGGTCTCATATAGTATTGCCCAGGCTAGCCCCAAACTCCTGTGCCCAAGCGTTCCTCCCATCTTAGCTTCCTGAGTAACTGAAACTACAGATGGCTACTGCTGTACCCCAAAACTCACTATTTAAAATTGGACATTCAGTGAGTTTTAGCAGATTCATCAGGCTATGCCACTATTTCAACTGTTTAATTCCAGGACATTTTAATTACCCCCAAAGGAAATCCCTCTTAGCAGTCACAGTTCC